ATAAAATTACACAGTAGGATCGGGTCAGTCAGTTTTCACAGGCCTTGAATGCCAGGAAGAAAAGTCAAAACTATATTCTCCAGAGTCTAGAAAACAAGTTTTTGTATGAGAAACAACTCAATAAAAATAGTGATTTAATAAGGTTACTTCTGCAAAGACAGTAATGGTGAAATTGTAATGGCGGAAGACCAAAGATAAAGTGATCATTAAAGTTCTCTTTCTACTTTAACCATCTATAAAACTTTAAGATCAAAGAAATGAACAAAGAAAGATCATGAAATAAAATCATCAATAAAAAATCCTATATTTTTTATATGCAGTGTTTAAATTGGGTAGAATCCCTATGGATCTATTCCTTTTTTCAGATGGCAAAATGAAACATAAATCCATAGAATTTTAAGAACAGAAAGAGACAGAGATCAAGTCCAATATTCTCTTTTTTTTTTTAATATGGGAAGCAGCAAGGTGAAGCAATTTGTCCAAAATGACAAAACTAGGTAACAGATAAGAGGGGTTTAAATCTTACTTCTAAAACAATGCATGACATTGGGGAAACTGCAGTCAAAGCTAAGGGGGTGGGGAGAGATCAATGTATTTCTAGGCAGCATGGCTGATTTCCTTAATAAATAAAAGTAGAATTTTCAGTTATATGTATTAGTTACTGTAGCAGAAGATGCCTATAGAAGCAAGTAGTAGTTGTATTCAGCCACACCAAAACTAAATATAGAGGTCAAGGAGGGGGGCAGAGAAAGGCAAGAATATTGATGACCCAACAGTCTTCAAAACCAAATACAGCAAGTGCTCAAGCCCATGGCAGACATCGCTGTTAATCCCACACTCGGTCTCACAATACATACAGTGCTCCTGGGCAGCCACCACCGTGGATTAGAATTAGCACACTAGTAAAACCTACTTACTGTTCCTGTTCTACATTCTCTAAATGGCTTAGTGAAGCTTACCTTTCTTTTTGTTTCATGGGGTTTTTTAAGTTGCTATTTATCCTACCCATCGTCTTTTTCACTTGATATTATTCCCTGTTCTCAATGTGATCTGTATCTATTCTTACCAATTTGCTAGTATTATACTTCTCAAACTTTAACCTGTATGCACATCGCCTGAGGACCTTGTTAAAATGGAGATTCTGATTCACTTAGGCTGGGGGACCCTAAGATTCTGCATTTCCAACAAGGTCCCAGGTGATGTGATGCTACAGGTCCAGCACCACGTTTGAAGTAGGATTAGCTACTCCTCCTTAAATAACCTGAGAATAAAGCACCATTACTTGGGAGGAAATAAATAATCAAGGGCAAAAGGAAAACACTGCAAAGAATTTGCCCAGAACCCACACTCCGAACCCTGATAGCTAACTACATAGTACTACATAGTTTCTGAACTTGGCTTCACCTGTAGATTTTTGGCTTTGCCAAGACCTTCATTAGGAACCTATTAACCCTCAATACCCAGCCTCCTAAGACTCTCTTAAATCATATTTCAAGCATCTTTTTACTTTTTTAAAAATTTATCTTTATTGTTGAAAGTATTACAGATGTCACACCCACCCACCACCAACCCTACTGCACTATTTTCTGTGTCTATGGGTTGTGCATATATGCATCTAGGTCAGTGGTTCTCGACCTTCCTAATGCCGTGACCCTTTAATACAGTTCCTCATGTTGTGGTGACCCCCAACCATAAAATTATTTTTGTTTCTACTTCATAACTGTAATTTTGCTAGTTATGAATCATAATGTAAATATCTGATATGCAGGATGTATTTAGGCGACCCCTGTGAAAGGGTCGTTCGACCCTCACGCGACCCACAGGTTGAGAATCGCTGATCTAGGTTCTTTAGTTAATCTCTAACCACCCATCCACCCCCCTTCACTCTGAGATTGGTCAGTCTGTTCCATGCTTTTAAGTCTCTGGATCTATTTTGTTCTCAGTTTATTTTGTTCATTAGATTTCACATATAAGTGAGATCATGTGATACTTGTCTTTCTCTGACTGGCTTATTCTGCTTAGCATAATACTCTCCAGGTCCCTCCATGCTGTCTCAAAGGGTAAGATCTCCTTTTTTATGGCTATATAGTATTTCATTGTGTACCTATACCAGAGCTTTTAAGTGCAGTCCTATTCCTGATCTGGAATGCCCCTGCTCTGCTTTCCCATGTTTAACTAAGGGTGATACAAACTCATTTTAAAATACTTTTTTCTAAAGAATTGAGACATACCAATAATACCAGCAAACAAAATGCACAACAGAAAACTATTTTTAATATTATGATAGCAATTATATTCAAAATCTACAAAATAATCAGGAAAGGCATACATTCTACGTATTTTCACTCACACCTTGTAAATGCATAACAAAAAAATGTACTTACACTTTAGAAACTACACCATCTTCGATGTCCTAAATTTAGATTATTTATTTTTTTTCTAAATTTCATTGATCTTGAGTTTAAAATTCCTAGAGCTAAATATAGCGGAAAAAAAGCTATATCCAGCCTTTTCCAGGGAAATCCCTTTTTAATATTAATTCTTAAAGCATTCAAAGTTATCTACAATTTAATTTTTTAAAGTTTAAAAAAAATATCTGTCTCCTTCAGTTAAGATTTCACCTTTACTTCAAACGAAGATCATTTCCTTTTAATCTGAAACCTGTACTTTTCTTGGGGCTTTTTAGTAATGAAGAAGAAGAAAAAAAGGAGAGTGCTTTTGCTCCTTTCTATCCTTTTTTGAAAAGAATGCTATCAACAATGACTGGGGAAATTCAGAGCTTCTGTATTTACCACCAAAGAGTCTCATAAATAAATTCAATAAAGCAAAAAGCTTAAATTACCACAGAAAACTCAGGTGGAATGAGTCATGACCTAGTCCTAGACCAAAGGGGAAAACAGCAATCAACAAAACATTTAAAACTGGAAAGGATTCCTTTATTTTCTTAATCAACCAGGCTGGAAAGAAATGTTTACACATGGATTCAAAAGAGAATATCTGCTTTACACAGAATTTAAGAGTTAAAAGGGCCTAGGAAATCATTTATACTAGTCCTCTCATTGTGTTCATTGAAACTGAAGCCCAAAGAAAGTTAATGGAGACAAATAATGAATTCACCAAGCTAATAAAAAACCTCTAGAAGACATTTAAGTTCAATTTTAGATAAGAAAATAATCAAACATGTCCCTGACCTAAGTAAGGTCCAGGTTTAATAGAATAAAATACAAAATGAAAATGAAAAGCAATTGCTTACTCTAAAAGAAAAACATCTTGCTCTAGCAAGAAAAACTCTCCTCTAGTCTTCTTGCCTAAAAGCTAAAAAAAATCCTAGTATATCAAATGTGGTACCCCTCTTTACCCTTTCTGATCCAAACTCCCATTATTCTGCAGGGCTCTTACCATTCTCTCTTTTATTTCCTGAATTAGGTGCATATTTTGAGTCTTCAATTATGCTACAGGGTTTGCAAGAGCAGAGACTGTCATCATCTTTTCTATAACTCCAGAATATATCTAGTTTTTGTATACACACAGAGTCTTAACAGATGCCTAGTGAATTAATATATAACAATATAATCAACTTTCCTATATTATACCTCTTTAGTTACATTAAAAGCTATGCTTGAAGGGAAATTCTGACTGATATACTTCATGGTTCCTTTCTCTAAGTCAAAAGCTATACAATTAGCTTTATGTTTCTTTTCCTAATAAATTATTGCTCACAAAAGTGATTATAAGCAACTATAACAGGGGATGCACAAATAGGGAGTTTGAATAAGTATAGTTAGACTATTCAAAGTTACTGTTAATGGAAAGAACTGGTAATTTTGACTCCCTAAAACTTTTAGAGTATGTACAAGGTGATTTAATAAAACAAGTAAGTTGATAAGAACCCATTCTATTTAACATTTTTATCAATGTCCCCAAAAATAGAATTGAGAATGTATACATTAGGAATGCACACCTGGGGGGGGGGGGTTGACAACCCCATAGACAGTAAGAATTGAATTCAAAGTAATCTTTAAATAAATATTTCATTTTAAAAAGATACAATTCAACAGTGAAGAGTTATAAAGCAGTATACAAGGAGAGATGAAAAATAAGGTTAAGACTCATTAATCTAGTCTTAAGTTTGGCTTATAGGCTGGTCTTTTTACGAGGTGGGCACTTGATTTGTGTGTGTGTGTGTGTGTGTGTGTGTGTGTGTGTGTTCATTTTTTTTGAGTGATTTTCTCAAACTCATTTAATCCTAACAAGAACCCAGCAAGGAATTATCTGATCCTCATTATTCATATGTAGCAACTGAAGCTACGAGGTGGTTAAGTAGCTTGTCCATTCTTCATGGCTTCAAATGGAGAGCTGAGATCCGAACAAGCCTGCCTGCCTCTTAGATCAATTGAGAAAATAAATACTTTCTCCCATCTCAGAAGATGATTCTTAAATTACATTTTTTTAAAAAGTTGGTTTAATATAAAGAAAGAAATAACAATTTTTTCCAGAAATGTGCCAAAACAGATAGATAGGATATAAAAACAATAATATTAAACCACAGTGTTTTAATGTTTCATTCACCTGCTTTTGAGACATGACTAAAGGTAATCCTACATAATCTAAACATCACCGTCAGAATTATACCTTTACAATTCTAGGTGATCGATAGCAGCTACTTATAGGACTTACGCTTAAATGGTTAGCTTTAGCATGAAGCAATAAAAACTTTACAGAAATTGTTTGAGGATCATGATCTAACTTTAAAAAATTCAAATAAAATTCAGTATAAATTAGATTATTAGGGGTAGAATAAGAAAAAAGGACCAAGAAAGGAGAAAGCAAGTCCCATTTTATTCTATTTTTGGTGCTTTAATGCTTTTCTTTCACCAATAACTTAAAATTATTGATAAAATTCCAAAGACCAAAATTCTCAAACTCTCTAAATAGAAATAAAGTGAGAGACAAGACAGCAAAAATAGCTAAAGGAAATGCAAATGAAACGTAAGACATACCTGAGCTACTTCATCAAATTGAGCTTTTCTATGAAAGCTAGAGAGACTCTCTGCTCGCATGAGATACTCTGCTGTTCTTCTCTTCACAGCTTCTCGCCGGGTAGGGCTTGACTCTCCTAAAAGGAGGAAACAAAACTCAGGTCAGGGGAAAAATAAATAAACTCTTGTTTATCCAATTTGAAGATTAACTTCCCGTTATCCACTGTACCACTTCTTCACATTTCTAACTGAAAAGAGAGATTCAAAACTGGAATGGAATAATCAAAGTTATTAATATCAGCAAGGTCTAAATATTTTTCAATTACAGTTGGCATTCAATATTATTTTACCTTCGTTTAAGGTTTCTAGTATAGTAGTTAAACATATATACAGTTCAGGAAGTGATCCCCTAGTAAGTCTAGTAGCCACCTGACACCATATATATTTATTACATTTTTGACTACTAGAGGCCCGGTGCACGAAATTTGTGCACCCAGGGATGGGCGGGGGGTTCCTCAGCCTGGCCTGTGCCCTCTCACAGTGCAGGAGCCCCACGATCGATCTCCCCAAAGAGATAGGCCCCGCTCACTCGTCCGGGACTCCTCAATGGATTGCCCCAAAGAGGTAGGCCGGAGCCAGGGGTCCCGCCCCTGGCATCACCACTCGGACCCGCCGGGACCCGCCCCAGCAGCTCTGCATGGAGCCGCGTGACCCCCTGGCGTCACCACACGGAACCATAGGACCTGCCTCCACGCCATACACACATCAAGTCCCCACCCACCCACACACGCCCACTGCGCACACTGCCTCCTGGTGATGGATTGTTACAGCATGAGGGCGTGATGACCACATAGGCTTTTATTAGTATAGATATTCTCTATGCTGTACTTTATATTCCTGAGCAAGGTCTAAATATTACCTACATGCATTTTATTTATCCAAATTCTGAAATTCTCCTATTGAAATATGTATATAGAGAATTCAACATCTACACTAATAAAAGAGAAACATGGTAATTGGCGTACGACCGCTACCCTTCACTAGCCTTACCCAGACAGTTGTCTAACTCAACAAATAGTATTAAGGTCCACAGATGTTTAATAAGAGCTATGATATGGATATGACATGCTGTAAAAGTACCACCAAATTGAAGAATACAATTATTTAGGGTAACTCTGAATTCACTCTAATTGATTTTTATAAGCTTCATGGTTTTTTCATTAACAACAAATTGTCACTCACCTTACAAATGAAAACAAGAATATGATTTAAATCCCTGTAACATATAATTATCTGAAAGTGACAAGTCATTTATTTACCCTGCCTGGCTCTGTTTCCTTAAACAAAAGGTTTTTAAAGTGGCCTCCAAGCCCTAACCAGTTTGGCTCAGTGGATAGAGCATCGGCCTGCAGACTGAAAGGTCCTGGGTTCAATTCCAGTCAAGGGTAGGTACCTTGGTTGAGGGCACATCCCCAGTAGGAGATGTGCAGGAGGCAGCTGATCGATATTTCTCTCCCATAAATGTTTCTAACTCTCTATCCCACTCCCTTCCTCTCTGTAAACAATCAATAAAACATTTTTTTAAAAAAATAAAAATAAAATAAAGTGGCCTCCAAGAAGTCAAGACCTCAAAAGAGGTCCAGCCCATGGAGCACCGGGCTCTCCCCTCTCCAAAGCAGGATGATCCTGTGCTTTCGTTCATTTTATATGGTACTTGACTGTGAACATTTCATGGCTCAAAGTCAAAAACTTTAAGAACCACTGTACTATTTATGATCTCTAAGGTTCCTTTCCTAAATAATATTTCATACTTTTCATGACTCATTTTTATCAAAGCACTTAACACATGGCACTGTTTTTATAACCGACCAAATACATCATCTGAATGAAGTCAATAAAAAAGCAAGTGTCATATAGTGGGAAGTGTCCTGGATAGCATTCCAGAAACCCTGGTTATCTGAATTTTGGCTCTGCCTCTCACGAGTCATGTGACCAATGATAAGGTATCTCATTCTCTGAACGTCTTCTCATTCCTTAAAATGGAAATACATACCTCAAATGGTTGTGGAGATGAAAGGAGACAACACACATAAAAGGTATTATTACAACAGTGACAAAACTATAGGAAGCACTAAATTTTAAAGGTTTCCATTCCTCATTTTTCTCTAGAATTAAATCCTTCAAAATAATGTTAACTGGTTTGCTGAACTAAAGTGAATTGAATTACTAAAGTAAAGCAGACATTTTCCCCAAAAACTCTTATTTTTGCCTGGAACAGCATCTCCTGTTTCTTCTGGGAAATGCCTTTCTCCTCCCCTTGATACTGCTCCACCTCTCCTCTCCCCACCTCTCACTACCAGCGCTTACTCACCAACAACTGCTTTGAATGAAAACTGCTATGTGTTTCAGATTTCAGTCCCTCTAGTCACTACTAGTTAGCCAAGGGTTGAAAGCTGAGCCAATCACAGAACCCCACCCTCTTGGCCACAGCTGGAGGAGAGGGGAACTGGCCCAACACAAACTGGGCCAATCAGGCCTTCACTGTTATTGACACTGGAAATAAGAGTGGGAACTGCCAGCAGCCTAAGTGTCTGCCAATGGTTTCTGCCATAGTTTCTCACAAAAGCCAATCTGAAAGAAGGAACTGGACAGAAAGAAGCAGATAGGAGAGAAAGAAAGAAAAAATCCTAGCGTGACTGGGGTCCCTGATTTCAACTGAATCTACATTTCTGCCATTCTTTGTGTAAGGTAGTACAAATATAGATTTTTATCACATGCAAACCAAAGAACCCTGAATGAACACAGACCTCAAAGAAAAACTGCAATAAAGTTATTGTAATTTTGCTAAATAACTTTCCTTTCACTGCTTTTACATTACTATTTCATCTCTTCTCTCCTTCATGAGAAATTTACAAATATAATTGGTTTTGGTGAGGGAAAAAATTCTCTACTGCTTTTTAACTGTGGAACAATCTATTAACAATCTATTTTAAACCTTCGGTATCTCTGCTGCTTTCTAGGCACACTCCAACTCCTGACGCCTCAATTAAAATAATCAGTATGCTTCCTGCCTGTCCTTAAAATGTACTTAATTTCTAAACCCAAGGTTTGTATTTTTCTCAGTTGAAAAACAGATATAATCTATGAAAATCACCTAAGTATAACATATTTTGAGGATAAAGTTTGCCACAAAAATAAGAAACATTCCAGCCGAAACCGGTTTGGCTCAGTGGATAGAGCATCGGCTTGCGGACTGAAGGGTCCCAGGTTCGATTCCGGTCAAGGGCATGTACCTAGGTTGCGGGCACATCCCCAATAGGAGATGTGCAGGAGGCAGCTGATCGATGTTTCTAACTCTCTATCTCTCTCCCTTCCTCTCTGTAAAAAATCAATAAAATATATTTAAAAAAAAAAAAAAGAAACATTCCATATTTCTACACACTACCAGCCCTTGATTTTGAGTTTGCTGTTTATGGACTCTGTTATTCCCATTTTCATTGGCTCTTCTCATTTCAGCTTATGTCTTTTAAGCCCTAATTTAAATCCCTATTTTAGAATTTTTTATTCCTCTAAGGCTCAATTCTAATAGAAACTGTGCCAATTTAGTGTTTTCATTCAGTGTGAATAAGCTTTAATGAAACTTCAAATTTTGCTTTATTCAAAGATATCAACTTGTCTCCCAAAATAATTTGAGTCAAAAATGCCAAGATAATGGACCACCTAATTAAAGCTAGAGTTAACACCATATTATGTGATCAAACCACTGTTTTTTTAACTTGTGGTATCTCTGCTGCTTTCTAGGCAGTCTCCATAGGAACAGAGAGTCAAGAACAGGAAGCCAGCAGTTGAAATGGACTCCTGCTGAGGATAGTGATTCCGCTTCCATGGAAACAACAATGAAGTGATGGAAAAACTGGAAGGCTTTTAAAATGTAACCTTAAACATACATACTATGACACTTTCCTATCAGCACCTTAAAAGTAGATCATAACCAAAGGCCCTGGTGGGGTAGCTCAGTTGGTTAGAGCACTGTTCCCATACGCTAAGGCTGCAGGTTCGATCCCTAGTCAGGGCACATATAGGAATCAACCAATGAATGCATAAATATGTGGAACAAGAAATCTATGTTTCTCTCTCCTCTCTCTACAATCAACAATAAAATTTAAAAAAGAAAAAGCAGGTCACAACCACCGCTGATCAACAGCAGCAAGGATGACAACTACTTCTTACAGATAAGACCAATCTTCTGGACAATTCTAACTGATAACATTATAGATAGATGTAACTTTAAACAGATTTTAATCGATTAAAAAATTTTAATCGATTCTAACCTTAATTTCTTAATTTTCATTTTAAAATTCATACAGCTGATAAGGATTATTTTTCAGGAAAAACTAGGTTATCTGGAATTCAAATTTTAATTTCACACTAGGTCATGTGACTGTTATTTTTTCAGTAATATATTCATGTAGACACTTCATAAATGCTTTTTGTTGTTGTTGTTAATCCTCACCCCAGGATATTTTTCCATTCATTTTTAGAGAGAGTGGAAGGGAGGGGGAGAGACAAAGAGAGAGAAATATCAATTTCAGAGAGACACATTGACTGATTGCCTCCCACGCGCACCCCAAGCTGGGGATCGAGCCTGCAAACAAGGTACTCGCTCTTGACTAGAATCAAACCTGAAACCCTTCAGTCTGCAGGATGACACTCTATCCACTGAGCCAATCTGGCTGGGGCAATAAATGCTCTTAAAAATGGATATATATTTTACATTCTACTTAAAGATAAACCACTACCTTCAATAAGTTTCTCTGCATTTCTGTTATTTAGATACAGCAAAATTTTCCACTGGGTTTCGGCATTCAGAAGAGAAATCTGCTCCCATTACATACTAACTTTTCTGTCAACAAGTTCTGGTGCACCACAAAATATGTCACCTGTATACTGTGCATATACTGTGCCAGCCTGTATTTCTTTATACTTTATCAATTTCTGATCAGGACAGAGCACTGATAGAGGGTGATGAGTGTGCGTGTGAAAGGAAGAGAATGTAGCCAAACAAAACTGAGGAAAACTACCAAAGTTGTCGCTGAAATTTTTAGAAGCACTCCTTCACTATATCAATTTCTATTTT